GTTTTTTTCCTAACTTGTAATTTTCTATCAGTGTGTTGAAGATATAGAAAACCAGCAGAACTTACATTTGAATGCACGTGCTTCCTCCGCCACTAATTCGCCATTACACCCACTGCCTAATTCCAGCGAGCCTGCACTGATGCAGATTTTTAAAGGCTTAATGATCATATCACCCTATCCACTAAGGGGTTTGAGATGTCCCTGATGTGGTGGACCCTCTGCGGGAATGCACTGAAAGAGGGTTATAGTGCTTAGGGTTTGTGTTTAGGGGACAGTTTGGGATTGAGCCGTGCACTATTCACAAGCAGCCTCAGTTCTTGTGAGCCTGAAAACAACTTTTGTACGAGATTCTGTCGCCATCAGCTGGCATTGCTTACACCCATTAAACTGGCAGCTTTAGCTCCAGGTTCATTACACAACTTATGTTTTTATCCCTCTTGGGATAGGATATCTTTTTCCAAAGTTTTAGTCCATTTTCGCTGTCCGTCTTACATTGTGTTTGTGTGTTCTTTTTTCATGGCCCCAGGTAGCAGCAGGGGACTGGCTCAGTGCCGACTGTGGAGAAGAGATGGGGTGCTGGCGGCCTCCTGCTCTCAAGAAGGGGTCCTGAGGGTGAAACCTGTGGCAGAGAACAGCAAACTATAGCATCGGAACGACTTCTGTTGGTCTATTTTATGGAAGGATAGCTCATTACTGTACTTAAACGTGCAGTGTGCAGATTTAAAGGAGGTGTAGATATTCTGGTTTTCACATATTACTATGTTAAAATAAAAAGTTCAACATTGAAAGCTGAGACTTCAACTACTACACCACACAGAGACTTAATGCAAAAAAAATATATATATATATAAATATTAATAAATATTAATATAAATCTTTAAACATTACCATCTTTTTTCCAATGTTAATTTTTACATTTGTTGTTTATTTGAGAAAAATTACCAGAAACTCCTTAAATTATGACTCTTTCAGTTAAGAGAAGGGGTTAAGGAATGTAAATTTTAGGCTGTTTTGGGTATTTAGGCGATCTATTGTTTGCTGAATCTTTGATCAAGCTCATGGTCTCTTGAAGGAAACTGCAGACCTGCATTTAGCTCGATTTCTAACTGGCCTGGTGAAGCGTTTGTGTAGCCTGGCTTGGCCTTTGTGGAACCTCAGTGAAATAGGCTCAGGAAACCAAACTGAGGGGGTCACATTCACAGCAATGCAGAAGATGTTCTAATGTGTTGCTTCTGATAAGCTCTACTTAGCTGCAGACTTTTTGTCTTAAGTGCAGTGGAAACTCATACAGCTTTTCATGATGGCTTTGTTTCTGTTTATGGATGACTTTATGGAATCTACTGTGGTTTGTTTAAAATAGAATCATTTTGGAACCTGTTGAAACAAGATGATTCCTTAGGTTATGAAAACCCTGAAATTGCATTTGTGAAACTTTTCTTTATGATTGTGTAATTTATTGTAATGTTTCTCAGCTTAGAATGTTAAAAACATCACTGAGTTTTGTCCATATTATTATTTTTATTTATTAATGATTACTGAGTTAAAGAGTATTTTAACATAGTTCTATTTGTCTTAAAAGCATTCCTGCACTGTTTGATCTGTAAGTCAAGAACTATTTGTGAATAAGATTTCTGGTCTCAATAAAATAAAATTGCATTATGGCTTGTAATTTTCAGCAGCACTGAAGTTTAAATTTTGTTTTGCTCAACTATAAAAAGCTAAAAAAAAAATGTTTTTATAAAAGGCTATTACATGGTAAACTTGTGTGATGTTGGTGTGTTTGAGATGTTTTGATTAAAGCACTTAGGGTAAGGGCATTATTTTCCCTGTAAAGGAACAACCTTTTAAGCTTTGCAGCATCCTTAAAGGGAAGGTTGAGGAGCTGGAGGTACCCCCCATCCAGCAGTTCTGTGAGGCTGTATTTGAGGAGATGGCAGCAACCTGGGGGCTCTAGTGAACTGGATGCTGAAGAGAGTTAAAACTAATCAAAGATGGAGGCTTACAGAAGGGGGAATCCAATGAAGGGGAAATCAAACATCTCTTTATATGAAAAGCAATTTATAAAGAAGAATGTTTAGGACATAACATAGCACCTGATGTATTAAGAAATTAAGCAGATCAGATATTAGTTAAATATAAAGAAACTTATGTAAAGATTTATTTTAATATGTCACAACAATAGAAGTTATTTTAACGAAGAGTCCGCCAGTGTACATTTTCACCACTCTTGCTTCTTTTCACATGTTGCTACGGCTCTTGGTTGCTATGCATTTAGCGCCCTTAGTTACCACTTTCTTCCCATGATGCATCACCTCTAAGACAGTTTAAGTCATCAATGCTTTCTAACATTGAGAAGCAAAATACAATTCTGCTGTAAGTAACATCCTTTAGCTCCTACATGAGCTCTTTAAGCAAAGATCTGAAAAACTTAACACTCGGTCATATTAACGATTCTGCTGATACCATACTATACCGCTAGCTTTAGCTACTAAAATGCTAACGTTAGCTGTTAGGGTTCTGAGCTCATAGCCGCGGGCTAAAACGTTTCCTTGATATAAAGTTAAGTTTGAGAAGCTGCTGCTTTAGCGTTTTAAAATAACTGCTAACCACATTTTTAGATGTTGTATGACGCTCAGCAAAACAATCCTGCTAACATTACTGCTAGCCTCTAAGGCTAAACATAACGGTTGGGTCTCTGTTGAATCCGTGGGACTTGGTCTAACATTCAATCGCAATCCTTTTCTAGGTGTATCGAAGTAATTTGAAACATAGATTATGGAGAAAGAACAACAGAGCTACGTCGTCTTCAATGCCTCCAAAAAAGAGCTGTTTGGCACCAGCAGCGGCTACAAGTCGATGGAGAAGAGACTGAGAGCGCATTGGAAGATCCAGAGGTAAGGGCACTGGGTTTGGCAAAGGTATTTAAAATAAAATAGAATATCTTTTTTAAAAAGTCAATCGATTTTTAGTTGCTTTAAAAACCTGAAAGTGGAATTATATACTTTTTACACATGTCCACTATGTTGGATGCTAAGGAAGCCTGGTGTTCACACAGTGCTGCATGTTTGCATATTGATGGAAAGTTGAGTAAAAAAAAGTTTGGTAGAAAATTATGCAAAAGGACAGGGTTGCAGTGGCGGAGCTAGGCTTTTAAAACAGGGGTGGCAAGGTATTATATGTGGGGATCCATATATAGAGGGTTCAGTTAGACTACAAATAATAATTATTTTCTGCAAAATGTGTATTTATTAAATTAAAGTTTTCCAAAATGTATACAATTATGTACTGTACAATGCATTATAAATTAAGTACATAGCAAAAATAGAAATAAACAAGTTCTCAATGTGCTCCTTGGACTAAGCAATTCCAGTTGTAAACAAAAACCTGAGGTCAATTTGAACCTGTGAAAACAAGGCAGGACAAGCAGTGGTGAACATTTAAATGTGTACCACAAGAAGAAGAAGAAGAAGAATAGAACATGAAAACAAATAAAAAACGTACAGCCTTTTAAAACTGACTAAAGTTGACTACTGCCCAGTGATATGACAACAAGTTCACAAAAACAAACAGCAAAATTCTGTGGTTCTGGTGAGGTGAACGATGAGGCAGAACGTTTTACAATGTCTTCCATATTTAGGGAATGTGCACTCCTTGACTCAACACAGAGGACTTAATCGTGTTCTAAGGTGCCATTGTTGTTCTAAAGTGTTTTTTTTATTATTATTAATTTAAGGGCATAGAAACATCTTTTGAAGGATGCAGTGCTAACTGGAATCACAAGCCAAATTTCACTCGGCCTAAAAAGATCATGGAAAACATCTTTGTAAGGTTGCAAGAACAAAACAAACTTAAGTAAGCCCTCTGGTTTGATGAATTTCATGCTTAAGGTCTTCTAAGTCTAAGTGCTGGACTCAGTCCAATGTATCTTTTTTCTGTTCAAAAGTCAGGACATCTGTCTCAGGAAAAACAGAACTGTAGAGCTCTTTAGGTTTCCCTTTGCTGATTTCCTTTTCCAGCAGGACTCGGCCTCCAAATGCACTAATACCAGCTGTAATGACTACTTCATCTCTAATTGATTGAGCTGCAAAGTGGCCTCACATTAATAACATAGAGTAACTTTTACAGTCAGAAAAGAGGTGAGACATCAGAGCCAGCAGTACAGATTAGCTGGAGACCACCATTAAAGCAACCTGGGCTTGCTTTACACTTCAGCAGATCCACAGGCTGAGGCCACAGCTATACTTTCCAGCTGTGTTTTCAAAATACTTTTCATCGGTCCTTATAATGTCATGTTTATCTGAGAAACTGAACTTTGCTGTTTTGTCCACTGTGAGCTATAGTCATTAGAATAACAGAAAACAACACACAATAAAGAAGATCCCTCTATAATTTAATCTATTCCTTTTTATTTGATAATTAAATAAAATAGCTTTTATTCTAAAAAATGTTTTTTTTAGCTGTTTATTTAAGAATCAGATTTGAACAACTAAAAAGCTTTTTTCTGTACTTTCACTGTATCCTAACTCCTATTTTAGAGTAATCCTCAGAGGGATTCAATATTTATTTAATTTTTGATGAGATGCGTATTCATTTCAGAAGTAAATTTGCAATATTTTATCTCTGTCCCAACAGAAAATGATCATAAAACATATGTCAGTCATATGTCAGTCATTTCATCAACCTAGTATAGAAAATTCTGAATAAAAACGTTACAGATGGTGCCGCAAAGTGTTATCTGCTGTCGTTAGCGGTACTTCCAAAGAGTTGGAAGTAGAAGTGTCTGCGTGATTTTTGAAATATAAAATTCTGTTTTTTATTGAATGTGCCTGTGTCATGTTTACCACTTTTAGCATTTGATAAATTACCTGATATCAGAGATGAACAGTTGATCAAAACACAATCCTTATAACAATAGGGTGATATCTCAGTCATAAAGAACTAGAGAAGTCCCGATCCAGGTTTTTGCACTTCCGATCCGATACCGATATTGTTTTCGGACT